GCGGAGGGGTGTCGGCAGACTGCGAAGCTCTGAGGCATCCCGCCGAAAAGGGCGGTATCTTACACATGACACAACGCGCCCACCGCAGGCGCCAAAATAGGTCAATCAGAACAATTAAGGTGGGTTGCCGGTGGTCGCGGGCGGGTCGCGGGCGGGTCGCGGCGAGGACGACGACAGCCACAAACAACAAACGTCAGACATGTATTTTCGAGCCATTCCCACCAAAACTTTCGGTCTGAATTCCTGATCGTGCGCGCGCCTACTGGAACGGTGCGCGTGGGACCCGGTGGTCTCGGCCAACGCGGTGGTTGGGCCAAGTCGCAAATTGCCTTTGCCCGGAATTCGCAACAGCCCCAGACCCTCAGACGAAACCGACCGACAAAAACCCTGAGTCAAAAAGCAACGTCCCAGAACGCGTGGTGCGAGACCCCACATCTTGCACCGAGAGACCTGCAGCCTGCTGAAAGGGGAGGAGGCGGAGGAGGAGGAGGAGGAGCAGCAACAGGATGAGGAGCAACAGTTCGTTTTAACTTATGATGCTACTCTCGGTTAACATATGACATGTTATCCGAACTCGGCCACACTATGTGTTGACATGTATGCTATCCCCTGCTCAGCGGCACCATGTTCTGGCATAGTAGGTCATGTCAGGTTGTTTATCTACTATGGTATGTTCAGCGATGCTGTGACCATTATGTCCAGTTGGTTAAAATGTATCATGATCTGCTCTGTTATTATTGTTGTGTGTCCTTGTTGTATACATCAATGCGCAACTACGCTCTGTCATACCCTGTTCTGTGCACGACGGGCCGGCATGACGTCGTGACACCTGTCACTTATACGTCGTCCGATCGGTCGTTGCTTCACCTCTTGGCTCCTGCGGCCGACCTTACCTGGGCGCGCACGTCGCGTTTGACTATCCAACAGTACGGTTTGATACAATGCGTTGCTCCTCTTCACTTAGGGCTTTATCTCGAAATATGCCACGTTCGCCTTGCCTCTTTCAAAATATGATGTGGTACGTCATGTTATGCTCTGCTCTGTGGCGCCATGGTATGGTATGGCATGTTATGACGAACTGTGCTCTACTATGATATGTTCAACGATGCTGCTTCTGATAGGCTGCGTTCTGTTATCATGTTATGCGCAATCACTTTATGCTATGTACTGTCCTGTCCTGCTACTCATCTTGGAAACTGCCGTTGCCGTGTGCAACAGCAGCCAATCGGGTGAAAGGTAAAAATGCGAGGTCAGATTCTGGTATAGTATGTCCGGTTATATAATCGGAGGGCCGGCGAGACGCCATGACGCCTGTCACGCTAGCTACGTCGTCTGATCGGTAGTTTCTGCGCCTGGCAGTTCCTGAAGCCAACTTGGCCTCGGTGCGCACGTCGCGTTTGACAAAGTTCTGGGATGACGCTCATCTTCACTTACGCTTTCTGTTCTGAAAAGAATGCCCTGTCAAGCTTACCTCTGCCGGTGTATACGTTGATCGATTATACTGTGGTTTGCTCTGTGGCACCACGCTGTGGAATCATATGTTCTGTCAAGTTACGCTTTGTTGTGCTATGTGCAGTGGTGTCACGTACGAGATAATAATTTCGTCTTATGGTTCGGTCAGAAGCCATACCTTACACATGACAATATTGCCGATGATGCTCTGCCAAAACCACTGCCATGGTAGTCGCAGTAATGTAGCAAATATGGTGTCATTATGGTTATGGTGTGCTCTGCTTATCATATGATGCTATGGCCAGTAGGCTAGCTTCTGTGATGTCATAATACATTCGGCGCCGTCGTGGTAACAATATTCTTGTGGTAGACCATAATGTAATATGATCTGCTGTGCCCGCCGGTCGGAAAAAATATGGAAGCATGAAATAAGCAAGCGGTTGAAGTAGATTGGAGTCGGGCCCGCCCAAAGAAGAAGAAACTACAAACATGGATCGACTCCTCAAGAAGAACGGCGCTTGAAGTAAAGTACGGACGCGGCCGCAAGAAACGCTTGCAAGAAACCCAGCCCTGAAGACCCGCGCGAGGGGTGCGACTGGTGGGAAGCCCAGGGCACCCTGAACGCAGCAGTCCCACCAGCCCTTTGGGCGTGAGTGGTTTAGAGAGCCCGCTCTGTTCTCAACCCCCTTCTTCCCCTTCGGGGAGGGGTTTACCCTCCCCCTACCCCCTCCCCCTGGGCCTGGAGAGGTCCCTCCGCGGGTCGTTGGGGGAGTCATTTTCGACTCCTGGGAGGGCTAGAAAACGACACCCCTCACGAGGATTCTGGCCCCGACGGGGGGAGGCAGAAAAAACCCTCTCCTCTTCTTTGAAGCCAGAATCATTGATTTTACTACGGTTGTGGCCCCATTTTCGCCTTCTGAGGGGGCAGCGCTCATTAAAGCTCCCCTCTTCTTTCCAGGCAAAATCATTGATTTTACGAAGGTTTTGGGCTCATTTTGCCCTTCTGAGGGGGCAGCGCTCATTAAAGGTCCCCTCTTCTTTGATCGATTCCCTCCAAGATGGCCCCAAGAAGCGCCCAGGAGGCACCAAGAGGCCCCAAGATGGCCCCAAGAGGCCCCCAGGAGGCCCCCAAGAGGCCTCCAAGAGGCCCCCAAGATGCCCCCAAGAGGCCCCCAAGAGGCCCCAAGAGGCTCCCCCGAGGCACCCAAGACGCTCCTGGAAGCCCCTGGGGCCGCCAAGAGGCCCCCAAGACGCCCCAAACGGCCTCCAAGAGGCTCCCAAGAGGCCCGAAGAGGCTCCCCCAAGGCACCCAAGACGCTCCTAGAAGCCCCTGGGGCCGCCAAGAGGCCCCCAAGACGCCCCAAAAGGGGACGAGGTGTCCGAACGCCTCACGCCACGAGGAGCCCGAACGACTCACACCAGGACGAGGGGCCCGAACGACTCACACCACGAAGAGCCCGAACGACTCACACCAGAAGGAGGGGCCCGAACGACTCACACCAGGACGAGGCGCCCGAACGACTCACACCACGAGGAGCCCGAACGACTCACACCACGACGAGGGCCCCGAACGACTCACACCACGAGGAGCCCGAACGAGTCACACCAGGCGGAGGGGCCCGAACGACTCACACCAGGATGAGGCGCCCGAACGACTCACACCACGAGGAGCCCGAACGACTCACACCACGACGAGGGCCCCGAACGACTCACACCACGAGGAGCCCGAACGAGTCACACCAGGCGGAGGGGCCCGAACGACTCACACCAGGACGAGGGGCCCGAACAACTCACACCACGAGAAGCCCGAACGACTCACATCAGGACGAAGAGCCCGAACGACTCACACCACGAAGAGCCCGAACGACTCACACCAGGAAGAAGGGCCCGAACGACTCACACCAGGACGAGAAACCCCAAACGACTCAAACCACGAGGAGCGCTTTCTCTCCCTCCTCCTCCGCCTCGTCCTTCTCCCGCTCCCCCCACAAGGAGGATGTACAAGGAGGCGGGAGGAAGGAGGAACAGGGGAGATATGCGGGGGCAAGCGGACACACGCCTGAAAAACACGACTGTCGGCATGCTTCGCAAGAGTTGCTGTTGTGAGATGGGCTGGTGGGGATACGCGAAGCGTAAAGAATTTCTTCAATGGCCGCGGGCAATCACCGCGCAGCGCAAGGAGCGAGGAAACCACGGGTACCCTGACTAAGATCATGTGGTTTCTTGATGCGCGCCCCCACTGTAGATTGGGATCGTGTACTCTTCTATGCCCTGCTATGTTATGGTATACACAGTGGTAATACATTATGACCGGTACTGCGATCTGGCATGTCTTGTTCAGTACTGACATGTAGTTGCATGCCCTGCTATGCAATAGTTGCTGCTAATTTCACAATAGGTTATTCCGCGCTCTGTCACCGTATGATTTGCTATGGGTCGGGTTGATCTGTGCTGCGATACTGTGTCAAGTTATGCTACGTTCAGCCCTGACATGGTCATAGTATGCTATGTTGCGTCATGGTGTGTAATGGTACGGTATGGTATGTTGGAATATCATGTCGGGTGTTATTCTCTGTGCTGCATGCTCAACTCCGCCATTGCATGTGCTGCTATGCTGTTAAGCTACCAGATGGTACGTCATGAAATGGTATGGCATGGTCTGCTATGGTATGGTAGTATGCTGCCATACGTCGTGCTACTCATGCCGCGCTCTGTTATGGTATGGGCTACCATGGTATGGAAATCTCGGTTCGGTGATGCTGCGCTATGGCATAATGTGTGCTGCCATGAGATGATACAACATAACATGTTGTCGTATGGCATGATATGGTATGCCGTGTTATGCTATGGTGTGTAGTGTTATGCTATGGAATGCATGCTCCACCCTCACAGTGCATGCATTGTTATGACATGTTGTGTTATGATATGGTTTGGCGTATTATGTTCTTACCTGTCATGGTATGTATGGTAGTGTACTATGCTGTGATCTGCTGAGCCGTACCATGCATGCCGCGCTCTGTCATGATATGGCATGTCATGGTATGCACTTGCATGGTATGGTATGCTGTGTGATGTAATGATATGCTGCATGTTCGCACGATGTGGTATGCTCATCTGCTGTTATCATGGAATAGGAGTGCTACGTCGCGTTCGTCCAAGAAGCGAGGCGGTGGTCTCGGGGGATTCTCGGTGGACCTGGGGATCTGGCGGCCGCGCTATGTAGAGCGGGCGGGTTGGGGCAAGACGGGGGGCTGGCGGGTTTCTCGGTGGCGGGTGCGGGATTCACATGACAAGGAACATGTGATATTAAGATGGGGAGAGGGAGCAGGTGAGGCAACGGGGCGGAGGTGGGAGTTGTCTCGTCCTCTCCCATCCCCCCTTCGGTATACCAACATACCTTCCCCTTGTCTCCCACCCTCCCGATATTCCCCGTCGGCATAATTGTACATACAAGGAGCGCAATACCCTCAACCCTGGTCTTTCCCTATCCTCGTCGTCCTCCTACTCCTCCCCCCTCTCCTATGCCACCTCCAGCATGCAGCGGCAGCCAGGGGTCCTCGCAACGCGGCCGCTCCGAAGGTCCCACATCACGAGGTGGCGGTCTGAGGAGCCGCTGAGGGCATGCCTGCAAGGCGCAGGGGAAGGAGGAGGCGGAGGAGGAGGGGGAGGGGGAGGGGGAGGAGGAAGATGAGGAGGAGGAGGAGGAGGAGGAGGAGGGCCCAAGGGTATACGGCAGAACAGCAGGGGCTGGAGCAGGACCAGAATCAGGATAAGGATGGTGGGGGGGTGGAGGAGGAGGAGGAGGAGGAGGAGGAGGAGGAGGAGGAGGAGGAGGAGTAGGAGGAAGAGGAGGAGGAGGAGGAGGAGAATGATGATGAGGAGGAGAACGAGGAGAACGAGGAGAACGAGGAGGAGGAGGAGGGGAGGGGTGGCGGGGAAGAGGAGGTACGGCGGGAGGGTGGAGGGAAGCAGAGCGGGGGGCAACGGAGTAGGATGGACCCCTTCGCGAGGCGATGGTGGGGGGGAGCAGGGAGGGGAGGGCAGGCGAGGAGGGGAGGAGGAGAGGTTATAGTACTGGTAGTGGTGTCCAACAGGCAGGAAAAGTCCGCACATCCTCCACGCGGCCTGCCGTCCCAGAGCACGGACGAGCGGAAACTGAGGCCGGTCGCGGCGAGGTCGGTCGGCGCGTCCCACGCATCGAAAGACGGCGCTCACTGCCTCCGCCGAAGCCGGGCTGCCCTAGAGAAACAAAAAACGGCAGAAACCTTATTTCTCGGAGGTCCGCGTGAACTTCTCGAGTCGGCGCTGGAGCGCGCCAGGGGCGGCGCCGGAGGCGCCGCCAGGGGCGCCCGACGCCGACTCAAGGAACTCGCGCGAACCTCAGCCAAATCATGGTTACGCCGTTGTTAAAGGGGCCCAGGGACACATACATAAATACACGCGAATCCCAGGATTCCCCATATTGTATCATATGTTCTGAGTTTCCCCATATTTTCCCATATTTTCTTGAGAGTCGTTGGTGAATGTTCTTCGGCGCCCGCCACCTGCGCAAACGCGGCCTCGGGCTCCACGGAACCCCACCTCAAGGTTTGCAGAGCACGCGGTCTGCCACCCGCGCCTGGGGGAGCGGGCGAGGACCTCGACACAAAGAGTTCTCTGCCGCTCCCCGACGAGGCCCGACGAAAGCAGCGTGGTGCCCTCCCAAGCCCCAACGACGCAGATCGCAAACCACACCTGCGCGCAACCGCACCCTTTTCGGGTGTTGCCAGAAGTACCCCTGGCCCAAGGTACCCCAAGTATTCTCAGGGTGGCCCAGACGACCTCCAGAGCACCCCTCACGAGGCCCAGAGGGCCCCAGGGGCTCCAAAATGAAGCGAAAAGCTGGGGGCACCTTGGGCCAGGGGCACTTCTAACAGCACCCGACCTTTGCAATCTCGCGCCGGGCGAAATGGGGGGGATAGCAAATGGGGGCTTTGAGAAGCAGCTCACGTAGCTGACTTTCCCGGCACCCCCCGGCGCCGGGAGGCGCCCATGTGTCGAGGGATGGATGGGCCTGGCGGCGGGGCCGAAACCAGCTGCATGCGGCAGATTTCGTGAACCTCCCTTTCCCTATCCCCCCCCTCTCGTCTGGCCCGACCCAGGGGCTCCAAAATGGAGCGAAAAGCTGGGAGCACCTTGGGTTAGGTCGGGCCTGTCCCCCTACAGGCCGACTTTGGACGAGAAATGAAACATACCCCAAAAATGCGGAAACAATGCTCAAAAATTGTCAAAAAATAGTCCCCAGACTATGTTTTAAACTATTTTTGAAGATTCCCCCTGCAGAGGGACAGGCCCGACTTAAACCTTGGGCCACGGGCACTTCTGGCAGCACCCGGCCGTTGCAGTCGCCGAACTGGGCATCTTTTGCGCATCTTTAGGGCTTTCGTTGCGTATGTTTTATTCGTCGTCCAAGATCCCCCTGTCGGGGGACAGGCCCGACTTGATTCTGGCAGCACCCGGCCGCTGCAGTCGCCGAGCTGGGCTCACCGCGCACCGAGGCTGGGGCCGCCCGCCCGCCTGCGCGGGCGCAGCCCCCCACGCTCCGCGGAGCCCCGCCTCCACGAGGTCGCCGACGGCCGCCGGCACTGGGGGGGTACAACTAGGTCCGGCCTGTCCCCCTATACAGGAGGATTTTGGACGAAAAGTAGAACATACCCAAAACATGCCCAAAAGATGCCCGAAAATACTCAAAAAATAGTCCCCAGACTATTTTTGGACTATTTTTGAATATTCCCCCTGTAGAGGGACAGGCTCGATTTAAGGGTACAACGAGGTACCGATGCCGCTACAGTCAACCCGCGTAGGAAGGATGCGCGGTAAGGATGCAAGAGGGCCATTCCGATGCTTTTCGAGCGGGGCACGGCCAGAGAAAATGGCCAAGGATGGGCCGAAGGGACAAGGATGCAAGGGTATCCTTGGGAAGGTTGCCCATCCTTCCTGTGCGGGTTGGCTGTACTCCCCGCCGGATCTCTCCCAGGGTGCTCGCCGACCAGAACCTCGAAGCGAATCCAGCGGTGGCGACGATGTGACGCACAGGGGCATACTGGCACTGCGCGTCCTCCTCGGAGGCGTGAGTCCGACCCGACCATACAATTTAACCGTCTTGTAGTGTGTATCGCTTCCCGAGCTTGGTACGGCCAGAAAGCCACTGGCGCGCAGCGTATACTATACGATTTCTCGACGCGCGCGTAGCCCCTGGGGGGGGAGGCGATGGACACATAGTACAAGTATGTTGGGGAGACGCCGAGACGAGGGCCTATCAGAAGGCCCAGAAAAGGCGAACACAAAGGAAGCGCAGCGGTATGATTTTGCTATACGTTGTCCTCCTCCGAGGCACGATGCCCCGCGAGAACGCCGCGCCGCCGCCGGGCTCACCGCTGCTCCGGGCTCGCCGAGTCGCTGCCGCCGCCCCGCGGGCCCCCGGCAGACCGAGGGGCGCGTTTGTTTTTCGCCCTCGCAGGCCGCCTCCGCATCCTCCTCCGCCTCCGCCTCAACCTCCCTCTTGATGGGCT